GCGTGGTTCACCGCTCTCATGGCCATGTGCTCCGACAATGGCGCGACGGAGGCCCAAAAGCCCAAATCCGCAGGCAGCTCAATAAAGCCCAACTCCGGTCGCATCACGGGATGTCCCTAGATCAGGAACACAGAGTTGGGCTCCTCCGTCACCTCCTTGATGCGTTGCGCAACCTCGCTATCGCAGAGCAGCCCCTGGGCGAGTGCCGTCCCATCGAGCTATGTGCCGAGCATCATCCCGTATAGCGGGAGGGCACACGCCATTAGTGGCACCACCCTCCTCACACGATATGCCTCGATAACACTAGCCCCACGAAGGTCATGGCTCCTCAGGGATGCGACGGCCTCGATGAGGTCAAGCATCCTCTTCTTTTCCATGACAGGTGGCCTCCACGGCCACATCGGCGGCGCCTCTTTGATCAAGCGCCCGGTGAAGACCGGCAAGGGGGCAGCGGGGTCGTTCTTCAGGTAGAACCATTACGCGTGTGTTGGTGTTTATTAACATGTCACTTGTTTTAAGTACTTAGCCACCTTTTATAAACCTGTACCTCCTAGCTTTACTAGGTTGTCATCCCTAGTGATGATGCCAGAGATATGTGTTGGTACTACATAATATTACTACTAGAATAACACTAAGCAGTTCTTATTAATGCAAGTGACTAGAGAGCATATATATAAATCTATGAATACAAAGTATCCGCAAGCGCACAGATAATGTACCATTATAGCATTTTACCCGAGAGTATTTCAGGTATCGTTATTTATATTTTTACCACTGGGAAAGTCTAGCATGGATATGTACTGATAACTTATATTATTGAAGGAGAAGTAAACCATAACAAATACTCTACTCACAACAGGGATAAGTCATAAGATAAGATATATACATATAATAAGTAATGATAATGATAAGTCACTCAGAGCACTCCTTTCTATGGCATTAGCATGGTAAGGTAGAATATTGGAGGAATAATTCCTAAGTCATTCTTAATTACAAATCAAAGCATACATTTGATTAGTGCAATTACACCTAGTAATCATGGCTAAGATCATAATCATATCTACACCTAAGCGATATTACTAAGGAAGATTGAGGGCAGAGCTCGTTCTACCTTCGTAATCGGACCCTACGTGCACCTATATTCGGGGAGTGGACTACAAAGGACTTAACGGGAGTGTCACATCCGCGATCTACCACATGACCCAGAATATAGAGTGTATCCGTATGTAAACAACGTATAAGCACCACGCTTACACAATGTCGACCACCCACCCATGGTACCTTGGAGTGAGTGCTATACGAAGTTATGCATAAACATAATGATAAACTAGCTACACTAAGCATATAATCAAAGTAGACGATGAACATCATAATGAAGAATATGAATAAGATGAATACTGAGATTGTCATAACAATTGTAAGTAGCATATAAAAATAATGGAGAAACAAGAGAGAGAGGGTACAAGATTTATACCGAACCACGCTCTTGACACGATCGGAAATCCAAGCGAAGCTTGCTTGCCTCCCTCTAGATCTATCCTAACTAGCTATGCTATGGAGGAGGAGGAGCTCTAAGGAGATTAGGGTTTCTGTCTTCTCAAATGACTTGATGACTTCTGATTATGCCTAGGGGAGGGGCAGGGGCTGGATTATATAGCCCTAAGGGTCCAACGTGAGCCCTTGGATCAAACCGACTTAAGCAACGGCGTAGATGCATCCTAGGAGGTGGTGGGAACCGACATAGCAACGAGGAGGCTGACAGGTGGGCCCAGGGGCCGGATGGCCTATAGGTGGGGCCGGGAGGCCCCACTTGGTAGCCTCTCGGCCTCCGTTTCAGTGTGGAGTCCTCCCGAGTCTTCTAGAGTCTTTTGGTGTCCGTTTCACGGTGGATAAGCGTAATTAAATCTGACATGTAGGTCCACCTTAGCAGTTTTCTGATTAACCCCTGCTAGAAACACAGATTCACCAAAACTTGTGGAATTTGTTAGTTTAAACCCCTAAACCTTCATTGGTGATTATATTTATGCCCTTATACATGTTTAATTGATGGTTTAAATTGGTTGTTAACTACCGTCAACAATGTGTCACCCCTTGTTGGATCTGGATAGCTGGCAGGGCATGTACTTGGCCGCCCGCTGCCCCGGAGGTGGATGCCCACGCATCCCATCAGCACCAGGATCTCCCTACCTCTGTCCTTCTTCTTAAGCAGGGAGACGGAGAAGAAATACCTCCACAGTTCAAAGTGGGGTTTGATCCCCAGGTATCCCTCACACAGCCCGATGAAGGGCGTGATGTGCTGGATCCTGTTGGGGTTCAGATGCTGTAGCTCAATCTGGTAGTGGTGCAGCAGTCCCTAGAAGAACGGATAGGGAGGAATCGCAAGTCCGCGCTCGTGGAAGGGCGCGAAGGACATGACGTAGCCATCGGGTGGCATCGACGCATCCTCGTGATCGGGCATGAGCCACTCCGCCACGTCAGTCCTCCCATAGAGAAGACCGCGCTTGACAAGGCCCTCCATGTGCGCGTGAGTAATGTCGAAGCGGTACCATGACTCCATGGCAAGCGAAGACTGAGGAGCAAGGACTTTTTGGCGGCGGCAGAGAAGCAAAAGCTATAGATCTAGGGCGCTGGCGATGGATTAGCAAAGGCAGCAGATCCAGACGACGGCGGTAGAGAAGCAAAGAAGGAGAGGCTACGGTCTGACGTATCAGAAGAGGAAGGGGGAGGCCGCTATTTATAAGGCGGGGTGGGGCGAGAGGTGAACCTCCGCCTAGATTTACGCACCCGCTGCGCCGCATCACATCGCCTCCCTCCGAATATCGTGCGCATCACATCGGCCGGATGACGGTTCGCCCGATAAATGGGCCGAGAACCATGGCAGGTAAGGAAGGGATACGGGGCTGAAACGCTCCCACGACCTAGTCAAGCCCTGGAGTTCGAAGGTTGGCCCACCGATGGGTTCACAACCGCTCCGGGACACCTTTAGACTGAGGGGTGGAAAGGGATGGGCCCGCTAGCGGCCAGTACTAGGGCGCACAAGCGCCACGGGCATCCCGGCCCATGTTCGAGTCTTGGTCGGTTCACAGTCCATGGTTTTTCCTCGAAGAAAGGCAGCGAGCCCTTGGGATCGGTCGAACGGACCCAAGAACTATATGGACTGGCCGCCGAGAGTCTAGAGTCGGTCACCAGCTAACCCATGCCGGACCCCAGTGAAAGGAAGCCAGGGCCCCACTCGGACTAGCCCGTTAACAGCTCACCGAGCACCATGATTCGTCCATCGAGGAAAACATTGCACGGCTCAGCCCCTCTGTTTTATCAAAAAAACGCTTGAGGGAGGACGATCACAAGACGAGCCGACCCCTCGACAGGAGCCCTGCTACGCGCAGGGGCTCGGGGGAAGTTGGACTCGCAAGAAGACCAAATACGCGGTCGCAGGACGACGATGGATCGATCGGATCCTCGGGAGGGATCGGAATCAAGAAAAATCTTTTCCGACCCCTAAATCCTGCAGCTACGTATTTCCAAGGGGTCCGGTCGCGACAGAGGGGAATCGCAACCCTATGAAGACACCCCGCGGGCTACAAAGAGAGACCAAGGCAATCCTCCCAACTGAAAAAGCCTCCAAAGGAGTATTTCACTCCTCCGCAGGCTCGGGGGCTACCGTTGGGTATCGATATTAGGGATACCCGGAGGGCGGTAGTTAATGGCCATGAACGATTAAATCGCCCGGATGGTCCAAGGGGTATTTAAGGTCTCGCCCGACCCCATGGTCGCGGACTGCGTCTCGCCCGACCCCGAGGGCGCGGGCCCCATCTCGACAGACCCCTTGGGCGCGGGCTCTATCTCGCCTGACCTCTCAAGCGCAGGCCCCGTGTCATCTGACCCCAGGGGGTCGGGCTCCGCATCGCCTGACCCTTTGGGCGTGGGCTCCGTCTCGTCCGACGAGGACCCATACCACCTCCAACCACTACTGGACGGAGGGCACGAGCCCAGGGTCAAACCTCTGACACCGGGAGGGAAACAAGCATGTCTCGACGTGACCCGTGGCCACGACGGGCCATACCTGGGGATCACGTCGCCAACAGTGTCAGGCATGCCCGCGCTGTGCTACCTAATCCCCGTACGAGCGCTGACGGGCACGTCAGTTCACCACGCCCTCCACCGAGACGGAATAGAATGCCACGACCAGCTGATGATGTCGAGGCTTGGCACCAGTGGTCAACAGGAGCCCGACGTGGAGCCATCCCCGTCACCATCTACAGGACCGGCGGGGCCCGCATAAAGGAGAAAAGGCGTGACCCGGGAGGCCTTCTTCTCCCTTGTTTTTCTCCCTCTCTCTCTCTTTTCTCTCTATAACGTGCATCTTCCCCTTCGCCTATGAAAGGGAAAGCAGGACGCCCTGTGAGGGACACGTCCACACGAGCACGTAGACGGTTGCACGAGCACGTAGACGTCTGCACAAGCAGATAGAGCGCACGAGCACAAGACCGAGCAAACTCGACAACTCTCAGCACTCTTTCGATCCTTTCACCAGAGACTTGGGACCTTCTCCCTCTCTCGCCCATTTGTAACCCCTACTACAAACTTGTGCCGGTAACACGAGCAGCCGCAGACTGGACATAGGGACATTCCGTCCGAACCAGTATAAACCCTTGTGTCCTCCGAGCACACCATCCGAGCCAGACACGCAGATACAAATTTACTAGCCGGTGATCCGAAAACACCGACACGTTTTGTAAAACAGCTTTTCATAGTAGAGGAAGCTAATAAGAGGAGCAGGTATTTTTAGCTTCATTCATCTAGTTTTCATCCCATGTAAAGACGTGATTTTAAGGAGCTCGCTCCACTTGAGTAGCTGTTTTATTTTAATGTGTTTGACAAAAAAAAATGCCAAACAGGGACCTTATTAATCACCATGCATGCATGCAGGGCTGGCCAAGATTTTGGAATGGTTCAGTGAGGGCGGTGTGGTGGGCGTGCCTGACGCTCTCGTCTTGCAGATGGCTAGCCAACGGGACAAACATGAGAAGGGGAGCACCCCTCTTCACTTAGGCGCGTCGTTGAACGGGTGGCCACACGCGGGGTTTCTTTCCACACGGTTTCCACAAGTTTGGCCAGGGTCGGAAGCAACCGCTAGACTGCTACTGGATGCTAACGAATCCACGGCTTACCAGGCTGACGATGAAGGGTCGTACCCCATACACGTCGCTGCATGGTCTAACAGCCTCGGCGTCGTGAAGACGCTGCTGGAGAGGTGTCCGGACTGCGTCACTCTTCGAGATGGCAAAGGACAGACTTTCCTCCATGTTGCCGCTGAGAAGAGTTGTCACGATGTGGTTCGATATGCCTGTAGACAAATGCCAAAACGGTTGTCATCGATGATTCTCAACGTGCAGGATAGCAACGGGGACACAGCTAGCGCTGCACGGTGCTGTCCGTGCTGGGAACCTTGCCGTCTTCAACTGCCTGTTTCGGAATCGGGAGGTGCGCTTGGATGTGGCAAATAAAGACGGGATGTCACCTCTTGCTTTCTTGTACTATGATCCCTGAAGGGATGTATTATACATTCGTAAGTAGACATGCATCCCATCTTCTTTTCTTTCTTTTAAATAAAGTTGAAAGCAGCTAATCAATTTCCCTCATTCTCTCTCTATGTATTTGCTGTATTAATTAATTAATTAATTATATACCCTTTGCATGCAGAATCCAAAAAGTATTGTGAGCATGTCATTACTTCATGCAGGAGCTCCCCACGGTGGAGGTCGGCCGGAGCTCTTCAGTGAAAAACACATGCCCAAAAGAGAATCGCAGCAGTACACAGAAGCGACGCAGATGATGAGCATTGTCAGTGCTCTTATTGCGACTGTCACATTCGCGTCAGCTTTCACGTTTCCTGGAGGCTATCGAGCCGACGGCGAGCCAGTGTTTGCTGCAGGGAAGCAGAGCTATGCTTTCAACGCGTTTATCCTCGCCGACACGTTGGCATTCATCTGCTCCATCTCGTCTACCTGTGCACTTCTCTATACCGGGTTACCGGCTATGGACATCTCCATACGTTTCTGGTACTTAAGCATTTCGTCGATTTTGCAGCAACGAGTTTTGTGACCGCTTTTGGCCTTGGACTGTACCTCGTCCAGGCTCCGGTTCACCATACTAGTGCGGCTGCTGCCTACGTGATTGTTTTCGCATCTTTAACCTTTTATTATCATGGGATCGTAGGAGCGTGGCGATCCATCCATATGGAAACCACGGTCCTCGCTCGAATTGGAATTCGACGATATGCGGTACTGACTTACCCAGCAAGGCTATTAGTATTATTTAGATCTTGGTACACTTCGGGCCCTACATAATTATCTTTGGCTTCCCAACAATTCGATCGATCGCACCAAAAACAACTCTGAAGTGGACCTAATCGCATTATAAGACAGATCGGAGTCACCGTTCCTTTTACTACCAATTCATCATGCTATAGGTTTTTTTTTGACTAATTCATCATGCTATAGTTAATGGAATAAGTATGCTCCATTATATTGTCCCTAGTTTTTCCTCCGCACAATATAATATCAATCATATGTACGGAAGTATCATTGCTGTACGTACCATGCAATTTATCAACAACTGTTTCTCAATATATTGCACAAATTGCGGTGAAAAACGCTTCTGATTGTGTCGTGGATAAACCGTTTTGCTGTCTTGGTCTGTCCATGTGCCAAGTTCCAAATTATTAGACGTTTTGGCTTTTCAAGATACATGTGCCGAATATATAGTTCTAAGTACAGAGCAAAAACTATATATCTATAGAACGCAAAATATCTTATAATTTGAAATGAAGCAGTACATAATAATATATTCGGACTCCCAACAATTCTGAAGTGGGCGTCAATTTACAAGATGAGCTATGCTCATTAGTATTTGTAATACCTTCAGTCTGTTGAATATTAATTAGCACGTGTACTCAGTACTGATGTACCAATAATTAACCCAAAAAAAACTGCATATCATATGTGGTTCGAAAAACAAAAAACAAAACCAAACAAAGAAGAGCTTCAGAGATTTCCTGCATGCAGCTTTGTCGCACATCAACCACAACACAAGGCGCACTGGTCTCCTTTCCCTTTCCTTGTCTGGAATAGGGGTTCAAAGCATCATTTGGACTTGAGACAAGGCATACGTTTAATTTAAACTCTTTTTTCATACCACAGTACAATAATGGTCTCACTCATACACAAACATAAAAGGATGATGATGAGCCCCGAGCCGCCCCACTTTAACAAGCCCTGACATACATACACAGCACGGAGGATATTTAAACAGTACATGGATGTAGCATCACTTCATGTACCTCTGCAGAAACTTGCGGTGGAAATCACTCCTGATGGTGTCATTGATGAACCGTTTTGGTGTCTTGGTCTCTCCTCGTGCCTGGTTCTTGAATACCACATCGTCATCCCACCTGCAACCCACAAATGCCCAACCAGATCAGCCTCGCCACAAGCCACTGTGTATATAACACAAGCTGACTACACCATAATCCTACCTTCTCTTAACACTGAAGGAGCCAGGATTGTTGATGTTGATCAACGGGTTCCCCCGCATCAGTTCAGCTTCCTTCATCTTTGCCTCTTCCTCTGCTTGTTGCCGCTCCTGCAATTGAATATATTCACATATATATATTCTAAATGACTATCACCTGGAAGGCTGGAAATCAAGGATTCATGATAGAGATGCAAAGGTAACAGACCTTTCTGAGCTTCTCCTCAGCTCTCTCTTAATCCTCTCAAGCTCTGCCATTAGAGCTTCAGTGTCGTCATCGTCATCATCTTCATCGCTGAACACAATTTGCCACTCAATGTGTAAGAAACCAAACATAGTCAAAGCAGAAGTGTACTAAATAACGAAAACACAAGCCAAAATAAGATATTCGTCCTATAAATAATGTCACAAAAGATGCTCCCTTATTTTCTTCGCCCATTTGAAGTGAAGGCCTTATCACAGGAAACTAAATGTGCTACTAATTGTAGGCAATGCACAATAATGGGAAATATCGACCACTCCACATGTGCGTAGCCTTATGGCTATACAAAGTTTTACTGATTGTGACAGAAAATAAGTTCAGAACCATTCTACAAATTAGTTAACGCAGTTGCAAGGCAAGTCAAGCCTCCTAACATAAGAAGAATCCCAGCAGCAATTCGCGAGGGCAAGGTTTGTAAACCACTCATCACTGAGAAGGGCAACGATACAGACCTTTCATCATCACTTTTAGGCTCCACATCAGAGTCATCTGCATCGATTTCTCGTGGAACTATCTTATCCTCTGCTTCTCTCTTTGAACCTACAAGTTACAGCAGGAAAGGAATAAGCCATCACTAGGCAACAACATAAACAGATTATTGATGCAGAGTTCATTCCACGGACCTTCTAAGAGTAGCTGACTTGAACTTTTCCGACGGTCTCTTTCTTCTGCAAGCAAGAAGATGCATTGTTACTGATTGTACATCCCAGTAACAAATTTATCCATGGACTTATCCTAAAGGGGAAGACAAAAGAACGAAACCGAGAAAGTAGGTATACCAGCATAGGACTTGTCCTTGGAAGAGTAGTGCTTGCGCTCACGTTCCTCAAGTTCCTCCCTGAGGTTCCTCTTCTGTAACTCCTCTTGGGTCTGTTGGCCGTCTTTCCTGTACACATGGCAGAAATAGTGAGTCATGGAGGGACAAACAGCCTGACATATTGGCAGCGAAAATACCCAGCCAATCTTACTTCCTGGTTTTGACATAGACAGACAGTGATATAATATAATTATAAGCAATATCTTAGCCATTTCTGATGAGGCTAGCTGTAATTCCCAAATACCAACAGGGAACATACACATCTTTCTAAGCAATAAGTTGGTGGTGCTGAAATTTTCTTTGACTTAACTAAGCAAAGGCAGTGATTTGGATTTATAAATGTGTAAGTTGACATTGACATAATTAGCGCCTCTCCAATGTTTTTTTTTTTAAAAAAACACTGTAGCTGCCCCTTTTCGGTTTGCATTTGTAATCCAAATTCATCATTGCTGTCATAATGATCGTCAGAGATGGAGCAAAAGCACCTTCATCCACCTACTGAAGCAGTTCTTCCTATAATATAACTCATAAAGCAACTCTGAAATAAGTGTAAAAGGAAACTGATGCTGGAAGAAATGAAAACTATACCACCCATCTTAATATTTCAACATACTCTTCAGCACTTGAAACAAATTGATTGGGAAACATCAATGTAGGCACTCATTGTGATTCAATTATTTAAGTAGCAGTAATAAATAACAGGCTAAACAATAGAGATTAAGCAGTCTGTGCCGTACAATTGGCGTGGCAAGCACAAACTTCTTAAGGGTAGGGTTGGGCGCCTGCCTAGGTCAAAAGAAAGGCCACATCCTCTCGCGCTAGGATCGTCTGACGGCAGGTGCTCTAATCATGGAGTCTCCCAAATTGAATCGAAAATCCTGCCAAGGAACAGACAGACCCCTTTTTTTCCCCAATGGATCCTCGTGTCGCGGAGCTACGCTTAAAATTAGGTAGGGCGGTAACAGAGAAGAAACAGCGGCCATGAGATCTCCGGACAGGGGGCAACCCCAGGCGGCGAGGATGATTTGAGTACACGAATCGATCGGCGGAGAGATAGATAGATAGATAGAAGGGATGGGTGCGGACCTGGGCTTGAGGGAGGTATGCGCGGCGAGGTCGCGGGAGGAGTACTTCTGCGAGGGGCCGAATATGCGAGTGCCACCCTGCTCGTTGCCGCCCTTCGCCGGCGCCCAGGTGGGGCGCGCCGCCGTCGTACAGGAGAAGGAAAGGGGAGAGACGGCGCGGTGACGGTGAGGTCGGGGACGCCTCGGCTGGGCCGAAGCCTGTGTTCGCTGCTCGTTCGCACCGACTGATGCATCCTGGGCCGTCCGGCGGTCTGGCCCGTATGACGAACATGTTCACGGTACCGGCCCACCATGAGGTTATAGACTAACATCGGGGATTTTTTTTTAATTTTAACACTTTTTCGAAACTAATTTTAAATCTAACACTCTCAGGTTTTTTTAAACTAACACTTGGCGCGGCCAAATACCTGTGTCGCGCCATGCATGGTGGCGCGGCAGGGAGCTGACGTGGCGGCGACCAGAAGCGCTGACCGCTGACGTGGCAGGGCTCTGCCGCGCCACCGATCTTAGCGCGGCAGTGCCGCGCCCTGATCCATGGCGCGGCAGAGCCGGTATAACCTCCGCCGCGGCCCGCGTGCCCGAGCAGTCGCCGTTCTCCGAGCAGCGCAGCAAGGCAGCCTGGCCGCCGCGCCTGCCTTCGCCCGCGCCTGCCCGCCGCCGTGCACGCCGCCTACCGCGGCCGCGTCCACCCACGCCAGCCAGCCCGCCCAAGCCAGCAAGCCAGCCGCGTCCGCCCGCCCGTGCCAGCCAGGCAGCTAGGCCGTCGGCCGCCGTGCCCGCACGCCGGCGCGCCTCCCCCTCCGGCCAGAACCTCTGGTCACGCACGGCGGCTGCCCTACGCCCGCGCCTCCCGGCCCGGTCTTGCGCGCTGCAATGAGGTACTCCACTAATATAGTTAGCACAGTTAATAAAGTTAGTAAAATTATTAAAGTATAGTTAGTATAGTTAGTAAAGTTAGTTAGTTTAGTTAGTATACGTAATATAATAAGTTAGTATAGGTAGTAAAGTTAGGTAGTTTAGTTAGTAGAGTTATAGTATGCCTTGTATAGATGTTAATATTTGATTAGTTAGTATAGTTATATTTAGAAAATATATTAATATTAGTATGGACATTACGTACGATGATTTTGACGAGTTAATGAAGTTTCTTGAAATGCTTTTGCAGATGGATTGTTGTGTTAGAGTTTTGTACGGAGGAAGTGTTAGGAGAGAGGATGGTATGTTTGAGGATATGGAAGAAGAATTGGAATGGTTTGATGAACCTCCTAGCTTCAACGACCTTTGTGCCCGTTTGAATATAAAGTTTGGCGGTGATTTCACACTAAAGGGGAGATTTGATACTGGGACGATTAGGGCACACTATGTCCTCATGCCCTTGTGCGACCCTGCTCACTGGTCCCGCTACACT